ACACCCTGATTTGGTGTATTACTACGACTGCAATGAATATAACGTTTTATTAACACATAAATATAAGATGACTTAATAAGATTAGGAGTACTATAATACTCAACCCTTTCCCTAACCCAAAATCATATAGTAATATGAACTCGATTGTTTGAATGTTGTGTTTCTTTCGCGGACAGGGAAACTGTTAAGTTTAAGAATAATTATATCGTAATTCTCCACGGTTAAAAGCCTTGTAGAGTGTTAACAGTGGTAGAGCCACGCGGCAGCTTTGCTGTTGCACGTATGGGCCGGCTCAAACCGGGGTGGTACCACGACCTCACAGAATACCGGCGTGAAGTGGAAGCTCAGCTTTCGCGTTTCGTCTGGTGAGTGCAGGTGGCCAGAGGCCCAAATCCCTCCCCCCCATCAACATGTTAGCGGAATTAAATGATGATAGACTACCCCAGGAGGGTACCAGCACCCCTGGAGAACCCCTCCACGACCATGTTTCTCCACTCCTGAGCGTGGGTGCTCAGGCTGCACCGAAATTTCGGTGGGGGGGGGCAAAATTCCGCTCAAGACTAAACTGCTCGGGGAAAACGGAGCAATAAGACCAAGGCGACCACTTCCACGATATCCGTGAATTTCTGCAATATCAGGGCACTTCACTCTAACCTAAACGCCGTCCACTACCATCTCGAGACGGCGAGGCCGGCTCTGCTTTTTCTGACCGAGACGCAGGTGTCCTCTACGGCTGATGTCTCGTATCTCTCCTACCCGGGGTACAAACTGGAACACTCCTTTGTGCCTCGGGCTGGAGTTTGCGTTTACCTCAGAGAGGACATCTGTTCTCGACACCTCGGCATTCTTGAAGGTTCGAACCTGTCCATCCTTTGGCTACGCGTAGACAGCAACGACCATCCGCGCGTCTACGGATGCCTCTATAGGTCCGACTCTTCGACCACGTCCAAATGGCTACAGATTCGTTGCTACAGCAGATCCCCTCCGCAGAGATCGTGATCCTCGGCGACTTTAACGCCCATCACGCCGAATGGCTTGGTTCACGTTTAACCGCGCATGCGGGGAGATCTGTTCATGATTTTGCCTTAGCATATGGTCTGACACAACTGGTTACCTCGCCTACGAGGATTCCAGATGTGGAGGATCATACACCTTCCCTGTTGGACCTTCTGCTGACCTCTCATCCGGACGGATATCAGATTCGACGCCCTTTTAGACTCCTCGGACCATTGTCTTGTCCGGAGTGTGGTGCCACTCACGCTGAAATCACAGTTGCATTCTGCAGGCTGCCGCCGTGTTTGGCACTATAGGTCAGCCGATTGGAATGGGATGCGGTCTTTCTTCGCATCCTACCCTTGAGGGCGGGTTTGCTTGATCCCAACGTTGTTGCGGATTCTGTCGCTGATGTGGTACAGGTACATACAGGGTATGGAACTTTTTATTCCTTCCTCTGTGGTGCCCATTGGAGGCAAATCTCAGCCATGGTTTGGTCGCTCCTGTAAAATAGCATCATGCTATAAGCAGGAGTGTTACCAAGCCTGGGCTGACGCATCAACTTCCCAGGATGTAAACACCAGCGCTCTAAAAAAGAAGTATAATTCCGCCTCTAGGTCTTTCAAAAGAGTCATTGCCAAAGCAAAGTCAGAGCACATAGGCAGAATTGGCGAGAAACTAGTTCGCTTTCCTTCTGGAACCCGTGCATTCTCGTCTCTCGCCAAGGCTATCCAGGGTAATTTCTGTCAGCTATCTCTTCCATCTCTGCACAGGGAGGACGACTCACTGGCCCATACCGCAAAGAAGAAAACCGATCTGCTAGGCTCTTTCTTTCCGTCCAATTCGACTCTCGATGACGGGCGGAGTACGCCGCCGACCATCCCGCGGTTTGAGTGCTCCATGCCGGAAGTGCATTTCACACAGCGCTCGGTTCGCAAAGCATTCCTCTCCCTGGATATCCACAAGTCGAGTGGGTCTGACGGAATCCCCCCAATTGTGCTGAGGACGGGTGCTCCAGAGTTGGCACCGGTTTTATGCGTCTTTTCCGGTACTCCTATTCCATAGGCGTAGTCCCAAAATCATGGAAGACGGCTTTCGTCCACCCGATCCCTAAAAAGGGCAACCGCTCAGACCATCCACCGGCAGCCATCACCTCCTTGTTCTCCAAAACAATGGAATCCATTGTAAACTGCCAGCTCATAAGGTACCTTGAGGATCACCAGCTGATTAGTGATCGCCAATACGGTTTTCGCCGTGGTCGATCAGCTGGTGCTGCAGCTGGTGGTCTACCTAACTCATAGATGGGCGCAAGCAATAGAGTCTAAGGGGGAGGCATTGGCCGTTAGTTTGGACATAGCGAAGGCCTTCGATCGAGTTTGGCACAAAGCGCTTCTTTCGAAGCTACCTTCTTATGGGCTTCCCGAGAAATTGTGCGATTGGATCAGCAGCTTTCTTGCAGATCGGAGCATCAAGGTCGTTGTAGACGGTGCAAGCTCCAATTACAAGCCTATTAATGCTGGTGTTCCACAAGGCTGCGTGCTATCGCCAACGCTGTTTCTTCTGCATATCAATGATATGTTGCAAACCCGTAACATTCATTGCTATGCAGATGACAGCAATGGTGATGCTCTTTACACCGGCCGTGACAATATTTCTCGGGAAAACGTCTCCGAGTACCGGGACAAACTTGTGTTTGAAGTCGAGTCTGTCTCGGATTGGGGGCGACTAAATCTAGTCCAGTTTAACCCCCAGAAGACACAACTTGCGCGTTAACCGCTAAAAAGAACCCCTTTGTCGTATCTCCTCAGTTTCAAGGCACTCCCATTGTTGCCTCAGCCAGTATCGGAATCCTCGGTGTCGTTATATCGAGTGGCGTGCAGTTTCGTGGTCACTTGGAAGAGAAGGCCAAATTGGCCTCTAAAAAGCTTGGCGTGCTCAGCAGAGCGGGACAGTATTTCATGCCGGCACACCGCCTGCAACTTTACAAGGCGCAGGTTTGGCCGCACATGGAATACTGTTCCCATCTCTGGGCTGGGGCTCCCCAGTACCAGCTCCTTCCACTTGACCGCATCCAGCGCAGAGCTGCTTGAATCGTTGACGACCGAGTGTTTTCCGATCGGCTCGATTCACTGGCGCTGCGAAGAGATGTTGCATCTCTGCATTTTCTTTCGCATATACCATGGGGAGTGCTCTGAGGAATTGTTCGGATTAATCTCAGCCGCCAAATTTCGAGAACGCACTATGCGGCAAACGTCCCGAATCCCAATACCATCCATACCATCTGTATGCTTGGCGGTCCACCACTGTACGTTTTGAAAGGAGTTTTCTTCCGCGTACAACCTCTCTGTGGAATAGTTTACCACCGGTGATTTTTCCGGACCGATACGACCTGGGGACCTTCAAGAAAAGAGCTTACTCCTTTCTAAAGGGCCGGCAACGCACCTGCAATTCCCCTGGTGTTGCGGTTGATCACGGGCGGCGGTAGTCACTTAACATCAGGTGAGCCGCATGCTCGTTTGCCCCCTCTTCTATAAAAAAAAGAAAAATCAAGAGATCACCAATAATGTCAATAACTAAATAATACATGTACGTATATAATAACAAAGTAAAGTAATATATAATATGTAATAACAAAATAGACATGTGTCATATCGGAAGAGACACAGATATATTTATATATAGCCGACAGCTGATATTCCATGCGTTTTTTTCTTAACGTCTCAAAAAGCGTGTGACTTGAGTCAAAACCTGATAATTGAGTCATGAACCTTTGATTACAGTTCTAGACGAATCCAAATAATTCACTTTATATTCTGATTAAGATGTATTTTTGATTTCGTCGTGTTTTTTTTTTTTTTGCGCCCGAAGCAATTAAAGGGCTACCCTGTACGTAGGGAGGCGGAAAATGCATTACGCATACCACGATAGCCGGTCTATCGTGGTTATGGGGGACTCACTGTCCTACCGGGGACCCTAAGTGATACCCCCTAAAAACCGCCTTTGGGGACAGGCAACCGGCTGATTAAGCTCTATTGTGCCTTATCATGAGCGACCCTCTTTTTGGGAAAAGAGGGCGCAGGCGGCTAAGTGCCGCTGAGGGAGTGCCTACGAAGGCAAATTAATGTCAGATATTACAATAATTTTATTTAATTAGAGTTGGCCTGAGCCGCCAGGAGACAGTTCAGGTCGTTTGAAAGTTTATTAGGCGGGTCCGAGAGAGAGTTTCTCGGCCTGCGGACACGATAGCGAGAGGGGGGGTGGGGCTGCATAAGAAGCTGCCTCACGAATTAAATGGTTTGGGTGCGACTCTGAGGCTTTGAAGAAGTTCTCAGAGAGTTTTTTAAGAAATTGTTGAATTGTTGGGAGCTCTAAGTCCCGATGAAGGTCGGCATTACGAACGTACCACGGTGCGTTCGTAGCTCGACGACAGAATAGGTTCTGAACTATTTGGAGTTCATTTAAAATGTTAGGGTTTGCGTGGGCAAAGACGGGGCCCGCGTAGGACATGACTGGTCGTATACATACCTTGTAGAGGGTACGCTTGTTTCGAAGGGACATTTTACTGTGTCGGCCCAACATACTGTTGAGCCTACTCAGATAAAATCGTGCATGACGGGTTACTCTTTTGACGTGGGGCTTGAAAGTAAGCCCTGTGTCTAGAGTGACACCTAAATATTTGGCGGACGTATGCCAGGGGACAGGGGTCCCTAGCATACGTATTGGAGGAGTGTTTTTGAGACGGCGTCGTTTATAATCGAAGTGAACGGCGGAGCTCTTCTCCGGGTTCACATCGATGCGCCATTTTTTGAACCAAGCTCCTATTTCGTCGTGTTGTACCTATTTGTTTTATAAGTGCTACATGGATACGGTTATATCGTGTCTGTCTGTGCGTACATAAGCAGTACTAGTATATCCTTCCCTCCCGATATATTCCCTCAAACGTTGCCGCGGTTTCGAAACAGGTCTAGGGGACATCATTATTAAAGTCATATCACTTTATTCGCCAGGGTGAAGTGCTGGAATGTCCGCTATGCCTATCCACGTTTGTCGCAGCGGGCATGGTGCGACTGGCGTGGTGCGCTCATCGCTGCTGCGAGCCCTGCCTGCGACAGTACCTCGCCATCGAGATCTACGAGGCGAGGGTCCCAGTCAACTGTCCCGTGTGCCAGGAGAACATGCATCCCTTAGGTAAGTTGCGTTTCGTATGCTCTTTCAAATCGTAAGAAAAAACGCATTAAAGCGGTCAGAACAAAAAAATCCAAAATTTGTAGTTGTTCATATAGTCGTTCTATCCCCACATAGACACATAGATAAGTGCAATCCCCACAGCTTTTTTTGAATTTTTTGTACTATCGTAAATATATCAGTCTTTAATACTGTCACAAATATTTACAATTCTTATGATGAATATTCTATTATCGTTAAACCATACGATAAATGGTTACGAAATGACATTAGGTAGACTTTCACGTCACTGATTCGAATTAAAAGTCAGAAGGTAATTTTATTAAAGGCCAGCAGACCGAACGACTATTCGAATAGTTAACATCAATCATTTGAGAATTCCAAAGCCTTTAAAAAGTTAATATAAAACAAAGATTCTATGGTTCTAGAATTAATATAATTTATTAATTATCATCAGTCATTACAGTCCAATGCCTTGTTTATTCCCTTAGATTTAGTCCCACTTTTTTAAAGTTTTTCAACGTTTCCAGATCATTTTATGTTTGTAACACTAACATGCACAACTAAAGAGTGGTGGGTGCATTAACAAGTTATGTTCAGGTTTGAATAGTAAAAGAATGAGATTAAAGGCTATGAAGGATATTTGTGCACATAAAATGTCAAGGATGACGCATCTGATGTAGCCTGCATCGAAGTTGGCTGCAGCCGCTGATTAAATAAAAAAGGTAATGAGCAATGACATTTATTATCAGGTGGACTGCAAATTTATGATCGCTCTGCTCCTATACCAATAACCATGCTACACATGACTATATAAACTTAGTATGTAGTACTTTTTAAACTTTTCTATTTATTTCGTAAGTCACAAAAATCATTGCGTGCATCTGAAGATGTAACTAATACGAGTATGTGGCCTTACGCCTTTCTTTTGTTTATATTTTATTAATTCTAAAACTGACTGAATTAAGTTTAAGGCGTTGTACTCCCCCAAATGAATCCTTATATATTTTGTTTCTGCTTACTCTGAAAGATAAGCCCGTGAGTAATGTGCTGACGGCGTCATTATGTTATATTAATATTCCGGACATACTTATTTGGATTTGCCAATATAAACAGTTATCCGTATCCGGTTACATCAAGGATTTTGCGTCGTAGTGTGTAATATGTAGTATGTAATTCTATTTAATTTAAATTTTTTGAACGCATTAATCATCTATGTAGAACCATGCTGCAGTTTTATTAGTAGTATAGTTGTAGCACGAATGGGTAAGGACCACGCTCTCACAGAATACCAGCGTAAAATAGTAGCTTAATGCTGCTGTGTTTCGTATGGTGAGTGTAGAGAACCGGAAACCCTTTTTACTGGAAACGAGGCATTCCATCTTAGTCCCCACGGGTGACAACGCACCTGCATTTTGAATCGTAACCGAGGATAGATGTAGATGTCTATGGGCCACAGCAACCACTTACTATCAGGTGAACTGTGTGCTCGTTTGTCATCCTATCCCATAAAAAGAAATACAGTCACAGAATAAATAATAGTAAGTACTACGTAATACTGATATGAATTCAAGACCTACTTGTTTAATTATTAAATATATTTTTTTATAATTTTAATATATACTCGTTTTGAAATTGTCAGCAAATAGAACCTATAACACTAATAGAAAGAAAGAATAAAATAAAGAAATATTATTACTAACAACACCAACACACATGTTACAAAAGATATTATGCACTAAACAACTTTAACTAGAGACTAAAACGAAACTAAATCCTAAATAAAATGTAAGAAATTCAGTCAAAGCTTTATTATGTTTGGTATAAAATTTCTAGAAAGACTACATTCAGCATAATTTCGTAGTGTTATCCACGAAGCTGATTTTCAGTGCACCCTGAACATACAATAACAAGTACAACAATTAGGTACTACCACTACACCTGCTGCAGTTACCACACATAAACATATTATTATGAATATAAAATAAGAAAAGCGATGTACATATAGATATTACTGATTTTATAATAATTACATCGCAAATTAATATTAACGACAGAACTTTATATGTATATTTATAGCACTTCTGCAGAATTCCTTACATTTACTATTAGGATCTAGTGGTAGAATTCAGAATGATCAGTTACAATGGCAATTACATTTTTGTGTCATCGATTAGATGGTGTTGATAATTATGGCACAATTATTTAACTTTAATCAAGATTTCAACTTACTTTTCTAACCAATTCTAAAAAAAAAACCTACTAATAATCATCAAGCTCCTAATTTGGAATATTAGATATGGACTATATCGTCATATCCATGCTTTCTTAGCAGGCGGATTGACTTCAGATTTATGCACGGGTTATTGTTTTTGCTTTCCTCAATTCACTAGAAATCATAACTTTCTCAGGAGTCAGTTTTATTCCAATGCCAATGTGTGAACTTGAACTTTATAAAGTCAAGTAGATTTCAAATCAATTCAGAAAAACCCGACGATTGTATCCTGTTAAGGGGATATAGTAAGTCAGCTCAAATTCTAATTTCGCCCTCACCTCCCCGCGCGTCGTATGCTACGTACCGACATGTTTGTAATCACTAATACTGTAAGTAGATAGGTCGCTAGACACTTATTTCATTAGGTTTATCATATTTATGCCTGTTTCTTAAACTTATTTTTATCACGGTTATTTCCCATTTTAATTTTACGTCGTCCTGTTGCGTAATGTGTATTCTGATCGTAAGCGACACAACTTCTCCCTTGAAAAGCCTAAGCTTAGTTTAGGTAATTTCCTTTTACAGTGAAAATAATGGTATTTAAAAAAAGTAAATAACATAAGCACTGCTTTATAGTTAGTTCAGTTAGTATGCAAGGTTTCATGATCTTATTTAAAGTATTTCATGAATACCAGCAGTTTATTATTCAGTTTGGAGGTAACTTTGGATTTTTTTTCTATCAAGACAATTTTACGGAATCGTGTTTTCATCTAACATAGTCCTTAACATTAATCCTCAACTTTACCATATATTTATTTCAAAATTAATGCTGTAATACTTTCGGCATAACGGAGGATCTTGCTAAGCCATTTGAGGTTATATTTCCCCTTAAGATAGGAATGCTAATAATCCCGCGACTTAATGTTCATCAAGATCTAGGCGTGACAGTCGTTCGCAAGGCAGAGGCAAATGTTCTTACTCTCGTTCGTGACAGTGGATTATACGGACAAAGACTGAGCTCATAGTCAAACATCTCGCAAAATGTTAAATATAATTGTCTATATTATATTCAAGACAAGATGTTCGTTATTGTTGTTGAAAATACATTACATCAAGAATATTGTAAATCCAGAATATGTTTAAAATATGATGGATAAAACTCAAGAGGGAGATTTATAATCAGCTACTGTTGAACAAACAGACACAGGTTATATCTTACATTAGATTTTTTTTGTTTACGAATTAACAAACCTTCGTTAATTACAAAAAGGTACATGGTAAGCAAAGATGTATTCAAGTATTTTGACAACAACCCAATGGACAGGCGGGTAAGCGAGTTTATCCATTTCCCCTCACTGATGTTGGCCCACGTTACTAGTAGCAGAGGCTTAGGTTTGCTTAATTTAGGTTGGTTTTCATCAAAAGTCCATTGCCAAAGTCTCGTTGAGACTATATCAACTAAAAATAAAACAAAATATCTAGATAAAACTACTAGAACATGGTCACAAACAAGCTACGATATATCGTACTTGGCAATAGTCATAAAACTAGTGAGTAATTTATAAGTCAGTAGTGAGCATATATACAGAATGCCAGCGTAAAAATAGCAACTCAAAGCTACTGTGTTTCGTATGGTGAGTGTCGAGAACCGAAACCCTCTGGAAACGATAGGCCTTGGGAGAAAACACTTCATTTTTTTTTTATAAACGAGGAAACATATATGTGTTGCCACAGTAACCACCTATCATCAGGATTGTGAGCTCATTTGTCACTATTATCCTATCAAAAAAAAAAACCATGGTTCACGGTTTTTCGAATCTTGCGTCTATTCTTTGTTTTTCTTTTTTTCTTTTGTCTGTAGGCAACAGCATCCGCTTACCAACATGTTGACTGTAGTGTGCATATTTGTCACCTTTATTCTATAAAAAAACGTCCCAAAATCAAAATTTAGGTTAAAAAAGTTTAATAATTACTTTGTACTTTTGTTCGGCGTCACCTTCTCAGCATCTTCTTGTTTTTCAGCAATTGCCTTTGAGACGCCTCTGTCTTGTTTTATTCGATTCAAATTAACGGCACTGCAGCATAAATATTATGAAATAAATGAGATTATACAGCGACACCCTGCCTCATGCGTAACCTTAAAGGTCAAGGTTTTTGTGCTTGTGAAATGGTGTAAAAAAGAAGTGTTATAAATAAAAAAATTACATGGTGTTCATTAATTTACGTACAAAATATTAAGCGCAAAGGTCATCTGTTCCAAGTTTATACAATGGTTACGTAAAATATATCGACATTGGGTTTTAAAACAATGGTGCAAAATCTAAAAACACGCTTCTCAATGCCATTGTCCATTATTCGGTGTATTTTCTGCCACTAATCGGATTTCTGCTTATTATTATTGTTTCGCTACACTTTTCTACTCCAACTTTTTATTAAACAAACATATTTAAGAACTATGCCTATCTTTTATTAGATAAAAAAATTTGCGATACCTTAATGCATGTGTGCAGGAAATATTATGTTTCTTTTTATTTAAGCATGAAAGCAGGTAAGGCAGCTGGATATGATAGAGTATCACTCGAGATGCTAAGGGCTGGAGAGGGAGTGGTGGCAGGCCTGCTGTACACCTTGTTTAATTTATGTTGGGAATTAAAACGGGTACCGGATGACTGGTGTAAAGCAGTTATAGTACCAATATATAAAGGAAAAGGGTCACAGCAGGACTGCAAAAACTACCGCGGTATCAGCTTGCTTAGTATTGTGGGTAAACTGTATGCTAAGGTGTTAATTGAAAGAGTTATGAAAGAAACTGATGGAAAAATTTGGGATGTGCAAGCGGGTTTTAGAAAGGGAATGGGGTGCACAGATCAAGTCTTTTCCATGCGCATGATTGCGGAGAAGTTTTTGGCCAAAAACCAGAAAGTTTTTTGTGCGTTCATGGACTTGGAAAAGGCTTATGACAGAGTGGACAGGAATGTGTTACGGCAAACACTGAACTCATATGGGTTGAGCGCTGGTTTGATACAGGCATTAGGGTCTCTTTATAGGGACTCTAGTGCTTGTGTCAGGATCAATGGGGTCTACTCGGACTGGTTTGGCATCCAAAAAGGTGTCAGACAGGGCTGTGTAGCTTCCCCTTGGCTGTTCAACCTATTTATGGACCGGTGTTTGCAAACTTTGAAAGATGAAGAATGTGGTTTAAGAATGGGCGAGTTAACCGTCAAATGCCTTTTGTATGCCGATGATCAAGTCATATTTGCGTCATCAGCGGCTGAGTTGCAAATGATGGTTACATTAATGAACTGGGAATTAAAAGAAAGGGGAATGAAAGTGAACGCAAGTAAGACGAAAGTGATGGTTTTTGAAAGAGAAGAAAGCAAAACGGTATGTGAAATAAGAATAGAAGGAGAGTTAATTGAGCAAGTGGATGAGTTTGTGTATTTGGGATGTGTATTTAGCAGGGATGGTAGATATGATAGGGATATAGAACGATGAGTAAATGCAGGGAATAGAGTGAATGGGGCACTACACTCTATTATGAAGAACCAGAATGTGTCAAAACAGGCACGTATGGTAATTCATAATGCTGTGTTAGTCCCTACGTTAATGTATGGTAGTGAAAGCTGGGTGTGGCAGAAGAAGCACGAAAGTAGAATAAATGCTGTAGAAATGCGTTTTTTTAAGAAATATGCTAGGGTTTAATCTGAATGACAGGGTGAGAAATTGCGTGATAAGAGATAAATGTGGTATGCAAGATGATGTTGTGACCAGGATTAAGAAAGGAATGCTTCGGTGGTTTGGTCACGTAGAAAGAATGAATGATGAAAGAGTGACAAAGCAAATTTATATGGCAGATGTGAACGGCCGAGTCGGGAAGGGACGCCCTAGAAAAAAGTTTGTCGACCAAATTGGCGATATTTTGAAAATGGGCCACGTTAGAAGTACCCTTAACCGACGAGCATGTATGCGTAGATATATGGATGTAAAGGAGGCGAAAGAGGTATGTCAGGATCGTGCCAAATGGAAGTCCGTAATCTCTGCCTACCCCTCTGGGTGACAGGCGTGAGTGTTTATGTTTTATTTATCTCATCCGCCAGTAAACACAAATAAAACATTCTGTCAAACTACATGAGTATGTGATTCGAGGTGTAACATTTTGTTAGCGCAACTTCTACTCTCGATTATCTAATATTTTATGCCTATATATTATGTTCGAACGCGCTTTTCTCACGAACTACGGTCACTACAGAAAAATATTAGACAGTCCGTTTATTGAGGAAGGTTTATAGGCTAATAACATCAGGCTAAAGCCCATGGGAGTGGAAGCAATAACTGTAAACTGCCTTGTCCATCTTCTCATCATGTTTAAGGGGATATAGTAAGTCCGCTCAAATTCTAATTTCGCCCTCACTTCCCCGCGCGTCGTATGCTATGTACCGACATGTTTGTAATCACTAATACTGTAAGTAGATAGGGCGCTAGATACTTATTTCATTAGGTTTATCATATTTATGCCTGTTTCTCAACGCCAACCCAGTCGCTTCTTATTTTTATCACGGTTATTTCCCATTTTAATTTTACGTCGTCCTGTTGCGTAATGTGTATTCTGATCGTAAGCGACACAACTTCTCCCTTCAAAAGCCTAAGCGATACTAACGGGGCGACAGGAATCAAGCTTCAAGAGTTCAAGACGCCGATAGTTTAGGTAATTTCCTTTTACAGTGAAAATAATGGTATTTAAAAAAAGTAAATAACATAAGCACTGCTTTATAGTTAGTACAGTTAGTATGCAAAGTTTCATGATCTTATTTAAAGTATATTATGAATAACAGCGGTTTTATTGTTCAGTTTGGAGGTAACTTTGGATTTTTTTTCTATCGAGAAAATTTTACGGAATCGTGTTTTCGTCTAACATAGTCCTTAACATTAATCCTCAACTTACCATATATTTATTTCAAAATTAATGCTGCAATACTTTCGGCATAACGGAGGATCTTGCTAAGCCATTTGAGGTTATATTTCCCCTTAATGCTTTCGCCGAAAACTTACAGCGTAGTTCCTGACTTGACGTTTGTCAATCGTAACGAAGTACGAGTTGTTGCGATTCACTCGCCCTCAATATTTTATTTATTTATACACTTTAATTATACTAAAGGTACAAACTCATCTTTCCATTTGGTTACTAATTGTATGTTCAATTGTTTATGCCTAAAATAGTACCTACTATAACTGAAGAATACAATAAAAGGATTTTAATAAAACTAGTTAACAGATATTCAATAATGATTTGTTGTATTTACGCGAACACTACACATTGATTAAAACTACTTTTACGGATTTTATCGCGTTTAATTTTAAAATTAATTTTAAAAGTAACATTAAACGCGGTAAAATCCGTAAAAGTTGTTTTAATCAAGATATTCAATAATTAATTATAATTTTTCATCACGGAACAAGTCAATCAAGATTTACAGGACATAAGGGGCAAATACTCCGCCGTATTCTACAGTTGCAAATTGGTCTAAGGAATTAAAACGTGGAATATTCACATCAAAGATCTCGAACCAAAACTTCGGTACTGGAGACTTTGATAAAAATCATCTTAAGCTCCTAAGAAATTCAAGTCGAATCCGGAAACCGGTAACGTCATCGGCTATCTGGGCCATTCAGGACTGTTAATGTTGCGGCACTTCGTATGCAAAACGAATAAAAAAAATTCGCAAGGAAATCGCAAATACTGTTTTGTTTCACCAAGACAATTTTCGAATTGAATCCATCGCAACGACAGATTTATGTGACGAACAATATACTTGCTGGCTTTAAAATACATTCTCCATTTCAACTTAATCTTACTTCTAGTAATTTGAAACAACATTCGGTAAAACATTGAAAGTTACCTGTAACAAATTCTTACGTTTTATTGAACGCCCTTATTACATACGCACTGACTAAGTTTACGGCGATCGAGAATTGGAAGAAAAAAATATAACCGTTTTCAAAGTCAAAAATAAGCAACGTTTTCACCAAAATTTCTTTCAATTTTAGCATTTCTAGCTCAAATTGTTTCCTCGAAAGGGTATTATCGCAAATGAGAGAAAATGGACTCGTGTCAAATTCAGTTAACAAATTTTATTTGTCCGGGGTAAAAAAATATCCCGTATTTTTAAAATTCATGCTGGTTTGTCCCATGAGTCTGAATAAAAAGTTGGCAACCCTAACACCTTTATACAATAAAAGTAAAGGGGTTCTTTTATGAACTCGCAGTTTTCTCCACAATCAAATGCCACCCTCCGCCTTACACTCGCGATTATAGCCATAGATAACCCTTGGTCGTTTCGATTCTTAGAGAATATCGTGAAGTTGGCTGTGAGAACCTTCCAGTATTTTCTAGGAGGTATTAGAAATTTCTAGAAAGGTCTTACCGAAACTACTATTCGGTACCCGCTATCAATCTAAGATCACAATATATTTCTTTTTCTTACCTAGCCGCGACCAGTTATTGCAGCAAGTGTAGTGTAATATAATAAAGAATCGAGATGTATATTACAATGACGTTATGTATTGTATTTTCAGACGTCCGTCGGATCGTAGACAACCCGACACTTTACGACAAATACGAGGAGTTTTCGGTGAGACGAGCACTGGCCGCGGACCCTGACACAAGATGGTGTCCCGCGCCCGACTGCAGGTAACGTTTCTTTCATCTGCGTGGTGAGATTACATCCAGTACTTTTGTAGAGTTATCTTAGTTTAATTCACCTTAAGCGACAAGGTTCAAGTAAAGACAAAAATAACACAAGCAACAAAGTCTAATGGCAGGGTGTGGGCAGCTAACTCAAAGTGTGGTTGTGGGTTCGAATCCGCCATCCAACTCCAGTCGTAAACCACTCCTAACACAAGCGCTTTAAGCTTACCAGAAGCTTAAACAGAATATTAGTAATGTTTATAGCATTGATAGTATTTATTATAGTTTATTATTTTTACACCTTGGCACGGCTTAATAAATAATATAGCCTTTGAAAACTTATCAATACTTTATTTTATGTTGCGCATTTAGAACTTATTAACACATTTACTGACACAGTCTACAATAATCCTGAAATGTGACAATTCTTGTGTTTGATGCTTATTCACGTTTTAAAAAGTATTGTTGTAAGTATTTGTCGTTTCCATTCCAGAATACATCATCCCGTTCCATAGTTGTCGTAATATGTGACTTAAGAGAAATTTTAAAAAGACCTTTTGACCTCCATTAGATGGAATCGTGGCAGTTTGACCATCTCGTATTTATACCAGACTGTCTGTTCCCTGTGACTTGTCCGCGTGGAATTTATTACGATTGGATTTCATGGGTTTTGATGTTTTGCGCGGAGCCCTGTTTTTCTAAAATAAAAGTAGCCTTAGTTACTTCTTATTACATCAGCTATCTGCCAGTGGACGGCCCGTCAAAATCGGCGCAGCCATTTCGGAAATTAGCCGGAACAAACAGACAGACGGACAAAAGATTAACCTTCTGAAACTGAGGTGACTTTGTCATTAACATTCGACTGAGGTGTAGTCAGACGTCACGTTATAGAGCATGGTATGTGCAAAACTTTCGGGAGTAATAAAACTATAGTTTTATTTCATGATTAACGGGTTTATATATAATGAAAAACCCCGTTTCACCCTATCCTATAAATTAATACGTATTCTCAAAATAAAAATGACGGAGTACTTGCAATCATTTAATGAGATACATTTTTTAATGATATTTACGCTTAAACATACAAAACTATTAAAAAAAAACGAAATAATGAGACTTCTATAAAATTATTAATGTTTATCTTTAAAACGTTCTCCTGTAGCACTAAATCAAAAAACACAACAAGATCCCATGGATGAATAAGGCACAAATCAGTATCAAAGTTGACCCTAAATCTATAAATTAAGTTTACAGTCTTGACAAAGTGGAGAGGAACATTGCAGGCAAATTGGATTTTTGCATGAACAGCAGTAGTATCTTGTTTGCCTTTTTAATTTTCTTGGACATATGCTGCATAGCTTCCTTCCAGCAGGTCCTGGAAGCTCAGCCACGGGCTTAGGGGGAGGCAAGTCATTGCCTAAAACTCGCGATATAGTAAGACGGAGTTCTCTGGGCAGTCTGTCATTATAAACGCGTTCTTTTAAGCTCGGAATTACCAATTATCTTGCTAAATATAGCAAAAAGTCCCTTCTTCGTAGTTTGGCACCTGAACATTGGTATAAGACAAATGCATTAGCACCAGCTAAATTCAAGATTCTGAAAAATATTGCCATAGGCCATCGACTTGTTTTGCGACTGCTGGAGTAGATCGAGCATTTTTTATCAATTTCGACTCCACCTTTTGTATGGTTGTAATCAGCGGCTTCTTTGCCTTATCATCTGTACTTTCAGAATGGTGAGATGATGAAATCAATATTATGGCCTTCTTTTTCTTAGGTACGTGGGAAAGTAAGGTAAAGTCTTTAGTAAACCCATATAAAAAGTTGCCTGGTTCTCTTCTTTTATCTGGCAAAAACTCCGGTGGAATCTCCTTTTTATTCTTCTTTTTAAAGTTCCCAGGTAAGTCAACTCCTTATCTTATTAAAGCTGCATCAGTTGAATGGAACTGAACCAATTGTCGGCAGTTATATTTCTGTTGCTATTTTCGATTGGTTTCGATAGTCTAAGAACGGACTGAGTAGGAACCCCAAGATTTTTTTCAGCAAGTGACAGACCTTCTCCATCAGAACCTTTAGCCGTGTAAATGTATGCATTGTATGTATAGTACGTTTCAGCATCAGACGGTATAAGTACTTTTATCCCATACTTAGCGGGTTTGTTAGGCATATATATAACAAATTTGCATCTGCCCCTGAACGGTATAAGCATCTCGTCAACACAGGTATTAGGTCCTGGGACGTAGTTTTGTTGAGAGTTTAAAATAAATTTATCAAATAACCATGATATGCATGATAGCTGCTAATCGATCGGACTTCAAACGTTCTTGGCGATCCATTCCGTTGTCAAATCTCAAGCAGTTGATTAATGTACAGAATCGGTATTTAGACATCACACAGCGGAAAATTTCGTGCCCGGTGCCATCTGTAGCAAATAAATAGTTAGCGTACTGAGCTGTAGTACAAAAGGCGAAACAAACTTCGCATTTCAGTTTCATTTGTATCTTTGAGTTCCTGTCTGTTTGTGTTGCGAAGTGTTCTCGATAGGTTAGTAATTTTTGGTTGGTGTATAATACAACTGTCTCTACCATTTGAGAGTCAAAAAATTTTGACCATATGTCGTCAGTACTTCTGAAAACAAACTCCTCTGTTGACCGAGATACATGAATAATATTATGTGCAGGAGTTTTGCTTGTTCTCGCTATTTCCTTCTTAGACTATAAAAATACCACCACCACAAACCACCTTGATCCCGAGAAGCTAAAGAGCTAAGGGGCTCTTCCTCTTCAGAATCGAAATCACTTTCATTCGAGGGCATTCTGTTCCTCAAATTCTTCGAGTACCTATTGCTGCTCGAGACCATTCCCTTCCACATAATTAGGATCTTCTACCGAATCATCAAAATCACTAAACTCGTTTTCTTCTTTTAATTCTTCAAGCCATTCCTAATCTGCACATCATTAATTCTATACCTTCCACTGCTATCCCGTTTTGGTGGCCTGCCGTCTTTACTTTGAGTCTCCATTTAAAAAAATAATTAATAAAATATCTTTAGTAAATTAAACATGAGGTTATGTCTGAGAGACACTATGGTAGTATTAATATTTTACTGATAAAACGACACTAAAAACAGACACTATGGGTCTAAAAACATATTAGTGAGGTGACGTCTATCAGAATCAACGTTAATTGCTGTACTTACGTCTGTGGGACACCGGAAGCTTGAAACTCCACACGTGTGCACCGCGCATTCACCCGCGTCTCACTGACCATTAGAGCGAGCCAGTAAGGGAAGGTACTGAGCGGGACAGAGATTCATCACGCCACGTTGCGATCTGGCAACATTTTTTTGTGTTAGGTGGTATCCAATAGACTACCACCTCAGTCGCAGAAGGTTAATAATTGTTTTAAGTATCATATACATATACTTTCATATGCATTTAGTAAAAGGATGTTATTTTTACATTACAAACAAACATTTCAATTTTATTTATTTGTATAAGATGTAAAACACAAGGCATCAGGGAACAGCGTCAAAAGTCTGAAACGTTTCGACTCCGCCGAGTCATTCTTGTTCTTGTGCCATGTATACACTTTTACAACAAAATCCCAGAATATTAACAAAATTTCAACTGCTTTAAGTTCAAAAACTTTATTAAACAAAGTTTGTTTAAAAAGGGTTATTATAATATTAAGGATTTTGTAGATGTGATAATAACACGTGGGAATGAAGTGATCACTACAAAGCCATTTCTAATTTGTCTTATGTTGTTAATTGTGTATCAGATGATTGTATACTGTTTGTATTTTTTCCCTGCTGAGTTTCTTGCTGTTTCTTCCCAGTACAGAGGTTTTTTTCTGAACCAGTGGTAAATTAAACAATAGAGTCACTTTCAATGAGTTATTTATTATTTATATTGAATAAAAAAGACTTCTGTTTCTATTTCTGTTTCCGTTTGGTATAGTGGTAGCCAATCCGCCCAACAAGCTTAGCGATATGTCTGGGACTGGGACTTTTATACGCTGTGTAATAAGATCTTAGAAAAGCGATCTTTATAAAACCGGAATGTTATTATGTGATAAAATAGCTAAAGCTAACGCCCACGGGCACTCCGGTGGACCCGTGCTCCGTAGATTACCGGGCCGAACAATTATATCTGCCCACTCGTACGGTCAAACGTAAGAACGCATGAACGAATGTTGTAGTCTATACTTAAATTTTACCACGGAATGTTTGGTTTTTTCCCTTGTTTTTCATTGTTCGTCTTATACGTGGACAGTACTAATTGTAACTTGAAATTTTTATTCTATTAGATATTTTGCTTTATAACTTTAAAATTAAAAATGTACCTATATATAGTTATATATATCATATCAATATATATATATATATATCTATATATATATATATATATATATATATATATATATATATATATATATATATATATATATATAGTTATATTATATATATAGTTAGTTAATATATAGATAGATGTATAGATAAATGGAACGTGATAATTTAGTATGGGGAAAGGCTATATTGTATATTACGCTTTCTGAAATTAAATTGTGGAAAATTTTGTTAGCAAATAAAGGAACACAGATGAATATTGTTAGCAAATAAAAGGGTTCAATATTGTTATAAAAAAAAGCATTCGCATCTGCACGCAAACAAATCGCCTCATTCCTAAGTCTTGCCACCCAGGTGGCAGAAAAAGTGATGAACGCACTCATTATTGAGATATCGTAAACCAGTTGGTGAACCGATTAGTAAAGTTAATAAACTATGTAGTGGCGATGTGAGAATCTGAGAAAATCCACTACACCATATCTACACCGCTAGAGGAACGTGTAGGCCTAATTGTTTATTTATTATATACCTATGTGTGATAGCTGCGAACCGGCGACACGGGTCTCGATATTAAAAGACAGTAAAAGGAATTTCTAGTGTCCTATTATTTTGATTTCTGTGATAGAAACACTGTAAAAAATGGCCGATGAATCAACACGCGTGAAACCTTTACAATAATTACTAGTTTTTTTTTTTTATAATTTACATTACAATTATTTCAAGAGTCCACGAATGGACACTTCATAATTTCGAAAACATTTTAAAAGTAATTCACTTCCGTCTTATTCCCCGGTGTTGTACACCATATCGTCCCGAGTGTGTCGTAAGAGGCGACACAGGGAAATCGAAACAGTAGATGGGCACACGCATCTTTCTGATAACAACTCAAAGTAATAAAAACCTGCGGTTTTCAATCCGCCCGCCAAGCGTAGCGACTATGGCAAATTTCCCCTATGAAGTACCTAATCTATCGGGAGATCTATGTTCAGCAGTGGACTTTTATAGGCTGTAATGGTATGGTACCAGTTGACGCAATGAGTCCCGTTTCAGTTTCGCTGTGGTGGCAACTGGATGCGCTTCGTGCCCGAAACTGACTTGCCTGGCGCCAGGCTGCGGTGCGTCGTTCTGCTACCACTGCAAGGCGGCCTGGCATCCCACGCAGACCTGCGATGCGGCACGCCGGAGTCGCCAGCCACCACCGAGGGCGCCACAACCGCAGCACGCCGACATGGAGCACGGTGAGTTCATCATCATTGTTGCAGATCTAATACTCACTGCAGAATGAAACAGAAATCCTCTGTCACATGCAGCCATCGACTCCCTTTACGCTTGGTTTTTCCAACCCGATACGACTTAAGGACCTTCAAGAAACGAGCTTACTCCTTTTTTTAAAGCCGGCAACGCACCTGCAATTCCCCTGGTATTGCAGTTGTTCATGGGTGGCAGTCAACACTTACCATCAGGTGAACCGCATGCTCGTTTGCCACTTCGTCTATATTAAAAAATGCGTCCAAATCCACTCTTCACTTTAGTGAGCCGGCCTCAGCAAACGGAAAACTGACGCTCGAGAACTGCAGTGATAGTCTGGGAAAACTATACTGATTTCTTCCAGCTATATGGAAGGTCCATTGCCACTTTAGTTTATTGGATCTTGACTATAAAGCACACAGGATTCCATTTGGGATACATTTTCGATAGAGTTACCTTTTACATCTCAGATGAATAATCATATTCGTTTAACCATCGACAATTCCAATATGGGGTGAATTGTGTAACATTATTTACAAGTACTATTGACTTTGGGTCTATGTAATTTTATACTTCCAATCATCAAAATGGAACCATATCCTTAGCGTAGAATGACAGCATAGGAGAATCTATAACGACCCATCACTCATCTTTTCCTGTATATATCGTAAGAGTCGAGAGACAGAGAGAGAGTTGACTATATAAATACCTGAATGATCTCTGGGTACTCCTATTATTCATCGACTCGCACAATGACCATGTAATAACGGAGTAACACTATCCACTACCCCATATTATGGTTCCTTGGCTGTCGTAAAAGGAGATAGATGGAAATTAAAATGGAAGAACAACAGTAGCATATTCTTGATAATAACTTGAAATAATAAAAAACTATGGTTGCCAAACCGCCTGCCAAGCGTGGTAACTATGGCAGAATCCATCCTTTGAGGCAATCTATAAGCCTACGTTCAGCAGTGGAACTTTATAGGCTGTAATGGAAGTAAAGGACGCACAATAACAACACATTAGATAGGTAGGGATCTTTCCTATTGCTGGGCAGATATGTCGTAAATACTATGCTTTGAATCAGTGTCTGAGAAATGGATATAAAACAACGTATCCAATCACGAAAATCGATATTTTTTGTACTTTCTGCATCATTTTATGCGTGGTAGAGCCGCGATATAGCACGAATGGCTCGGCTCAACCGGGGTAAAACCACGCTCTCGCAGAATGCAGCGTAAAATAGTAGCTTAAAGCTGCTATGTTTCGTGTGATGAGTGTAGAAACGGAGACCCCCTTTTACTGGATACGATGCATTTCATCTTAGTCCTCAGAGGTGACACCGCATCTGTATATTGTTTCTTAATCAAGGATAAATGTAGATGTCTAAGAGCCACAATACCACTTACCAGCAGATGGACTGTGTACTCGTATGTCAACCTTCTATTAAATAAAAAAATACTTTTTGCCCACATATATTGCACATGAATAAACATTTATTTGTAGGCTTTACAAACACTCCGTGCGGGATTCGAGCCCACAGTCCCGCAGCGTTACAGCCAAACGCTTAGCTACTTCACTGTCTATTTATTATTTACTTTTTGATGTGAACCGCCTCCAAATTCTTAGATGAAAACTCCTCAAAAGTGATAAATTAAACTTATAAAGACACTAACTGAATAAGGTCTTTGCAAAACCGATATCTCATTGAAGAATCTCTTAACTCCAACTACCAACTCCTAAACAAAATTCGATTTTCTCAGCACGCAATAGTCTATCACTGTTGGATGTGAGTCTCTTTGAACTCGCTATGTAAATTTTATGCACTCTACAATATAAATTGTATTATATTAGAATACTTGTAACAGCGGTAAATGTATTGGCTCTAGGGGAAGTGAAGCCCTGCCCCCGCTGTTCTGTCCTGATCGTGAAGGTGGAGGACGGCTCGTGCAACCACATGGTGTGCTGCGTATGCGGCGCCGAGTTCTGCTGGCTTTGCATGAAGGAGGTCTCCGATCTCCACTACCTTAGGTGAAAATTTGTTACTATCTATTATTACCTAACAAACCTTTAAAATAATGATCATGTGACGTGAACAATAGTGATGCGACTGTCTTTATTTGGTCATTTGCATCGTTAATTATTGTATTATAATATCGTTAACAGTTATACTAACTGCGGTGGAATAAAAAAAACTTACGATCTTCAGGAATAAAATATGCACTCTTCTTTGTTTTAAGTTAGTTGCAGATGTTTATAGGCTGTGTAGATGCAGTTGATGACTGTGATCTAAATGGTGATCTGGAAATTAGATTCAACGAATTATCTGCGTGCTGAAATATAACTACCATTAATGCTTAACTAATTAATAGTAGGTATTGCAGCAACATACATGAGGAAGCAGTATAAAAAAGTATAATGTGTTTACTTCATCGAGAACGAACAATAGATAAAAATATAATATGTGAAGGGAAGTTTCTATACCCCTTTTTAAGCACATTGCGCGCACGGAGAAGTGTGAAATTAAATAAAACATTAATTGTTTACGTTCATACTGCCAATTTCAAACACATAACAGTCTATGGTCAATTAGTCGCACAGAGTAGGGATTGTTACCAAACACTTTTAAAAGGTTGCCAATAAATGGTCACAAATACCACAAATGATATATGATTTTATATGATATCAAATAATATATAATTTTTCAGTTTTTTTTTTGCAAAAAAAAGCATTTATTTTATATTTTGTATATGATATATCTGCTTAAAATACAAACTAAAGAATTTAATGAAAAATGGTCGAATTTCGTCCACTAGGCAACCGTTAATTTTAATAAAAAAGTGAAGTCAAGAACAATAATGGCGTGTGTGTTGCAGCCCGAGTGGATGTACGTTCTGGGGCAAGAAGCCGTGGTCGCGTAAGAAGAAATTGCTGTGGCAGTTGGGCACGCTGGCGGGCGCGCCGCTGGGCATCGCGGTGGTGGCGGGCGTGGCGCTACCGGCACTGCTAGTGGGGCTGCCGCTGTGGGCCGGCCGCCGCGCGCACCGCCGCCTGCGCCGCGCCACGCCCGCGCGCCGCCGTGCCGCCGTCGCCGCAGCAGTCGCCGCAGCGGTCAGTAGCACACAGCACTCGCAGCACACAGCACACACTGCCGCTGTGGGCCGGCCGCTGCGCACACCGCCGTCTGCACCGAGCCCCGCCTGCGTGCCGCCTTCGCTGCAGCGGTCAGTAGCACACAGCACTCGCAGCACACAGCACACACTGCCGCTGTGGGCCGGCCGCCACGTTCACCGCCGTCTGCGCCCCCACCGCTGTCTCCACCGCGCCCCGCCCGCGTCCGCTTTCGCCCCAGCGGTCAGTAGCTCAGAGCACTCGCAGCACATAGCACACACTGCCGCTGTGGGCCGGCCGCTGCGCACACCGCCGCCTGCACCGCCGTAGTTGTACATATAGTACCCAAGCGGATAACCCGGCGCGTGGATATTTCGCGGCAGTTCATGCGGTAAGTCGCTATGCCACTTAAGATTCATATTCAGCATTTATCATGTAATCAAACTCTATCTGAACTACCTTTGCTATATTGGTGATTAATAGCACACGCGTAATAAGGTCCGCACGCAATACATATGGATCCTTACCGGATGCCGTCGAAGTCGCCGATGCCGTGATGCTGATTTAACACGTGCTGGACGGTGTCACAGTCTAACTACGATTAACAATCGGTGATCGGACGCGTCTAGACGGAGCAATCGTGCGGTGCAGTGCGGGGCTAGAAGCGGGCAGAACTGTCCGCTAGGTTTGCGCAAGTAAATTAAAATGATTCATAATGATTTCTTATATTTACGCGAACACTACACATTGAAATAATACTAGTTTTTACGGAATTTATCGCGTATATTTAACTTTTTAAATACCCGACGTTTCGAACGCTTTACAGCACTCATAGTCACGGGCGGGACTGAGATATTCAACGTCCATATGTCATAGATAACCGCGGTTACCATAGATTAAAATTTAACTTTTGTTCCGATCTATACAGTATGAACTTATGGTATCTTGAAGTCTTGCAGTTGTATGCTTGGGTTGGGATTTAATTTTATTTATTATAGGATCCCAAGCAGATGGTAGCACCCAGCCATCTTCTCTATTGAAATTAGGATGTTTTTTGATTTCAATAGCCTCGCGAATCATCCTTGGAAGGAATCGGTGTTCTTTAGCGAGGATTTGCGGTCTATCAAATCTGATGTAGTGACGGGGGCGATCCTGTACGTGTTCACAGACTGCAGACTTCCCGGAGCGTCGAATCTTCACATCAGCTATATGTTCTTTAACGCGGGTTTTTATTGATCTTTTAGTTTGTCCTATGTAGGAGAGACCACATTCACAATCAAGCTTGTACACTCCTGCATCTTACAGAGGGACATTACACTTGACTTGAAGCGCGCTTCAAGAAGTAGCCAATCTTGTCAGTGACTCCTCTAACATATGGCAGTACAGCAGGTACACGCTCGACTGTGGCCGGCTTCACTCGTTCACTGTGACGTAGGCGCGGGACTCGAAGCTTGTTGTCATGCAAAACTTGCTTGACATGGTGGAGCTCGGCAGCCAGGTGTTTACTGTCACAGATCCCTCGTGCTCTCTGAAACAAAGATTTACCCACGGTAGCTAACTGTGAAGGATGATGGTGAGATTCACCAATTAAATATCGGTTGGTATGGGTCTTTTTTCTATACACAGTGTGACCAATTGTGTTATTAGGATTTCGAATGACTAAAACATCTAAGAAAGCTAAAGAATTATTTGCCTCTAACTCCATTGTGAATTGTATTTTAGAGTTTATAGAGTTAAGGTGGTTTAAAAATGCAGTTACTTTGTCAGATGGTAAAATTGTGAAAGTGTCGTCTACGTACCGCTTGTAGAATCTTGGGTTTACAGGAGCAGTAAGAAGGGCTTTCTCCTCGAAGTCTTCCATAAATATGTCGGCGACAATGAGAGATACAGGTGAGCCCATCGCCACACCATCTACTTGCTTGTAGAACTCCTCCTTCCACAATAGGTAGCCAGATGTAAGGCAGTGTCTGAGTAATACTGCATATTCTACGGGCATGTTGTTTTCTTCCAGCCTTCTAGTTACAATTGAGATGCAATCTTCAACAGGTAAGCATGTAAACAATGACTGCACATCAAAACTGACCATAGTTTCATTGTCTGCCAGATGTAGGTCTTTAATCTCGTTGACAAAATGGTAGGAATCCTTTATGTGTGCTCTTGTATGTCCCCTGAGCGGTGAGAGTATTTTCGCTAAGTGTTGAGCCAATCTGTAAGTTGGTGAATCGATTTGGCTCACTATAGGACGTAATGGAGCATTGGGCTTGTGTATTTTTGGTAACCCATACAATTTTATATTTCTACGTCAGATTATTATTCTAAAGAACAAGAACTTTTGTCGGATGTAAGTACTTATAAAAAGGTTAAAAACGTCCCAACAAATAGCACACTAAAAACAAGTAGTGACCTCATAAAGAAACACTCCGTAAAATTAAATCTGGACGTAAAATGGATAATACCTACGTGCGCCAAATCACCAAAGTTGTATGGGTTACCTAACATGTACACAAGCCCAATGCTCCATTACGTCCTATAGTGAGCCAAATCGATTCACCAATTTACAGATTGGCTCAACACTTAGCGAAAATACTCTCGCCGCTCAGGGGACATACAAGAGCACACATAAAGGATTCCTACCATTTTGTCAGCGAGATTAAAGACCTACATCTGGCAGACAATGAAACTATGGTCAGTTTTGATGTGCAGTCATTGTTTACATGCTTACCTGTTGAAGACTTCATCTCAATTGTAACTAGAAGGCTGGAAGAAAACAACATGCCCGTAGAATATGCAGTATTACTCAGACACTGCCTTACATCTGGCTACCTATTGTGGAAGGAGGAGTTCTACAAGCAAGTAGATGGTGTGGCGATGGGCTCACCTGTATCTCCCATTGTCGCCGACATATTTATGGAAGACTTTGAGGAGAAAGCCCTGCTTAGTTCTCCCATAAATCCAAGATTCTACAAGCGGTACGTAGACGACAATTTCACAATTCTACCTCTGGATAAAGTAACTGCATTTTTAGACCATCTTAACTCTATAAATTCTAAAATTCAGTTCACAATGGAGTTAGAGGCAAACAATTCCTTAGCTTTTCTAGATGTGTTAGTAATTCGGAATCCTGATAACACCTTGTGCCATACTGTGTATAGAAAAAAAGACCCATACAGATAGATATTTAAACGGTGATTCTCACCATCATCCTTCACAGTTAGCTACCGTGGGTAAATCTTTGTTTCAGAGAGCACGAGGGATCTGTGACAGTAAACACCTGGCTGCCGAGCTCCACCATGTCAAGCAAGTTTTGCATGACAACAAGCTTCGAGTCCCGCGCCTACGTCACAGTGAACGAGTGAAGCCGGCCACAGTCGAGCGTGTACCTGCTGTACTGCCATATGTTAGAGGAGTCACTGACAAGATTGGCTACATCTTGAAGCGCGCTTCCATCAAAACATACTTCAAGCCGCTGAAGAAGATTGGTCAGTTTTTACCATCAGTCAAGTGTAATGTCCCTCTGCAAGATGCAGGAGTGTATAAGCTTGATTGTGAATGTGGTCTCTCCTACATAGGATAAACTAAAAGATCAATTAAAACCCGCGTTAAAGAACATATAGCTGATTTAAAGAATCGACGTTCCGGGAAGTCTGCAGTCTGTGAACACGTACAGGATCGCCCCCGTCACTACATCAGATTTGATAGATCGCAAATCCTCGCTAAAGAACACCGATTCCTTCCAAGGATGATTCGCGAGGCTATTGAAATCAAAAAACATCCTAATTTCAATAGAGAAGATGGCTGGGTGCTACCATCTGCTTGGGATCCTATAATAAATAAAATTAAATCTCAACCCAAGCATACAACTGCAAGACTTCAAGATACCATAAGTTCATACTATATAGATCGGAACAAAAGTTAAATTTTAATCTATGGTAACCGCGGTTAACTATGACATATGGACGTTGAACATCTCAGTCCCGCCCGTGACCATGAGTGCTGTAAAGCGTTCGAAACGTCGGGTATTGAAAAAGTTAAATATACGCGATAAATTCCGTATAAACTAGTATTATTTCAATAAAATGATTCACACTATATGTGCGTTAAAATACTGTGGGTCGTCCTCATTTAAAGATATGGAATTAAAGTTTCATAGGAATTTGTTTAAACGTGAAATTAAATAATATCAGTTTTTTTTTTAATTTGTATTACTTCCCATTCTGATAACCTAGCAATTTATTGTATATGTCGGCTTTTCCGGCAACAGCAAATGTGATGACTGAATGTGTGTTTTTCTTTTTGTGATGGTGTTGAATAATAATAGCTACTGCTTATTAGTTCCTATATATGATCTCTCTTATTTGGGAGTTGGAGCAGGAAAAAATCGTGTTGACCTAATGTGTGGTTATCTGTTTCTTTTTTATGAATTAAAATTTCTGTAAAATTTTACTATGTAAGTGTGCATGCATTATTGAAACAAATTCATTTGTTTTTGTATGTGTATTAGTAGTATTAAAGAGACAGTAAGGTTGAAGGGTAGTGCGGTGGGTTGCAGCTGGTGGTGTCGCCGCTGGTGGCGGGGCTGGCGGTGGGCATCGGCGTGCCGATCCTGCTGTTCTACGTGTACGGCGTCGTGCCCGTGTCGCTGTGCCGCGCCGGCGGGTGCGCCGCCGCGCCGCACCGCTACGACGACGAGCGAGATGAGCGCGACGAGCGGGATGCTGCGCCCGACGCGGACGCTGTCTCGCGTCGCCTCGAGCCCAGCATTGGTGAGCCACGCGCCATTCTAGCGTCAGTGACATGCCTCCCTACCTTCTAACGTCAATGAACGGTTCTGTATACTTCGGCGTAAACTTCGGTGTTAACTTTGGCGTTAACGACGCGCTTTTGTACCTCTACCTCAGCGTTTATGACCTGCCTCAGTACAATTACTATAACGTCAATGACATGGTTCTGTACCTTTACTTTAGCGTCGTTGACGCGTGTCCGTATTTCAATTTAAGCGTCTACACTACCTCAAATGGCTTAGCAAGATCCTCCGTTATGCCGAAAATATTGCAGCATTAATTTTGAAATAAATATATGGTAAAGTTGAGGATTAATGTCAAGTACTATGTTAGACGAAAACACGATTCCGTAAAGTTTTCTCGATAGGAAAAAACCAAAGTTATCTCCAAACTGAAATAAACCGCTGGTATTCATGAAATACCTTAAATTAGATCATGAAACTTTGCATACTAACTAAACTAACTATAAAGCAGGGCTTATATTTTTTATTTATTTTTAAATTACCATTATTTCACTGTAAAGAGAAATTACCTAAGCTATCGGCGTCCTAAACCTTGTTCCCTGCCGCTCGGTCAGTCTCGCTTCGGCTTTCGAACAGGAAAGCTGCGTCGGTTATGATCAGAATACACATTACGCAACACGACGACGTAAAATTAAAATGGGAAATAACCGTAATAAAAATAAGAAGCTACTGGGTTGGCGTAAAGGAACAGGCATAAATATGATGAACCTAATGAAATTAATATCTGACGACCTATCTACTTACATTATTAGTGATTACAAACATGTCGGTACATAGCTTACGACGCGCGGGGAAGTGGGGGCGAAATTAGAATTTGAGCTGAGTTAGTATAGGCCCTTAACAGGTGGTAGAAGACTCGTTGCATACATTCACAATCTACATATAGTCACTTTGAGTTGTGGCCGCTCCTCAAGCCTGGAAGAATATCTCTCCTATTCCATGCGTAGCCAAAGAACTATACACGATTTACTTGCTTTTTGCGCGGGTACATTCACGTATAAGTTTTATGTATTATTTGTTCGGGTAATGGACGTATGTTTAATAATAATAAAATTTTTATATAAAAACTAATAGAGAAGTAAAAAATATAAGATTAAAATATGTTAAAAAATGTTAAATGTTATGTTAATGAGCTCGCGTCCGTCGTGGTTACGGTGATTACGTTAACTAACTCAATTTTTATAATTGTCGAACTGTAGCAGCAATTGCTTCACGTAAAATGTTAACGTCAGCAGAAATATACGGTTGGATCGTACATTATTTGTAACAAATTATATCGAAGATCATTGTGGAGTACAAATTTAAGGAGTGTGTACATAGTAGTATCGTTTGACAGGCGACACGTCGCTGTCCGCGGGCTCACAGCAGGCAGAGGCGCGCGCGCCGTCGCTGGCCGCGCTGGCGGGCTCGCTGGGCGGGCACGAGGCGCCGTCGCCCGCCGCGCACCGGCTCGAGGTGACGGTGGACGTAGCCGCGTCCGCCGCCTCCGACACCGCCAGCGCTGCCTCGTGGCCCGACGATCTGCCCTCCACCTCGTCGCGCTCCGCACGCCTGCGCAGCCTGTTCCTGTACGGCTCGGCCGCGCCGCCGCCCGACCCCGAGGCGGGCGCCTGCCCCCCGCCCACTGCGCCCCGCTCCGCCACGCCCGACGCCTCGTAACGAACGCGACATACACGCGACGGTATCACTGGACGCTATAATACGCTTATCATCGTCAAGCGAGTTACAAGTGTCGAAAAGGACTGAAGTAGAAGAGTAAAATTGTGAAGCGGTTGTGCTATCGAGTTGGTTTACGGACATTCACAATGTGATATTCGAGTGATTTTCAGTTGTACATATTTATTTGTTTAGAGAACATGTTAATGAATGGAAATCATCAATGGTTTTTACACCAATTGAGTTGCATTGTTGATTAGTAAAAAGGGAATAGAACAGTGAGACTACATTTGTTGCAAAGTTCTCTAACTGAACTATTCACACTGTAAACTAAGTAACGAAAAAGCTTTTAGGAATGAGGCACAGCATTTGGAGGTTCTACAAACATAAGCAAAAGTTCAATTCTGATATTGGAACATTCCGAAGTCAAAACTGGATATTGGACATAAGTTCTTAAACTGAAGATGTAAATGTGAAACAAGTTAGCTACAATTATACAGGCTAAACCGAGTTTATTGCGATTTAACAATAAGCAGTTGATTTGTCTATTGCAATATAGCACAATTGATTTTATAGTAGTCACTATCGCGAATGGAGTGAACTAAGTCATAGATTATAAAGAGTGAATGAACGACTCTCAAATTCGCGTGATTAATGCAACGAAATACGTGAAATGATAAGTATATACTCAGAAATCGAGACATTACTTACTAAATTAACTTTATTATTATGTCTTTTCTGATTGATGTTATTATTAAGTGACGCATATGTAGAATAAGTTTAGTGGTCATAATTTCTTTGTTCTTTTCGACTCAATTTTCCTATTTTTATCATCGGCTTATGCTCACTGGACTACAATTTCTTCTTCTTTTGTAAATTCCTGTCATTTATTTTCTACCTAACTTATTTTACATGAAATACTTTTAGCCTTCACATCTTCGTAACTCTTATAAAAAAAAAACTTAAAATTTAATGTTTTTAGCATACTATTATCTTTGTTTTTAATAATAATATTGTGACCCCTTCTCTTATCTCAGAATTAGGTTTTATTGTCACATCCAGTATAGCGTCAATTCAGTAAATTAATTTTTGTTTTTATTTAAATAATTATGCTGGCCGGATTGCCATGTAATGTTTGGTAAGATGATAAATCAGAAGGGGACATGGTATTCTGTCTTAGGCTTTTTTAATTGGGCTACCTACCACTTAACTTATTTTACACATACATCACAATTAATTGTGATTTCTTATGACCGTAATGAGATATAATTGAATGCTATTATTCATAATTGCCCACCACAAATCCTGACATCATTCCAGAGGGAAGTAAAGTGAGATAATATGCGACATTGGCAGCTATAAGTTAATCATATTATTGTACAAAAGTACTAACTTTCAACTTATTGGCCTTACCAATTTTTAATGACACTACTGTGCCAACTGTAAGTTTCAATGTGTAACGTAGCATTGATTTTTTACACCTCTCTTTGAGGTTTATAGTTATTTACTGGAAACATGACAAGTTAATGTATCGGCGAGTTGGAGTCACTATGTATGTATGGTCCATACGAGGCCCTCCCCTTCGGTAGATGCTTCGCGCTTTCAGTGCAGTGTTACTCTATCCGATATTTGTGATACTTTAAATAATAACTATTATTAACAATTCTAAATTATTTAATTTTTCACATTTGTAGGCGAAATAAATTTAAGCTATATGTTTATGTGAATTATACAAAGTGTAAACTATAATTAAAATGTGATTATAAATATACTCTTGTTTCATTCATTCTTCAAGGATTGACATTGTCAAGGTAGTAGGGTTGTTTCTGCTTGGGTTCGTTCACGTAGACTACCCTCTTACCAATTAATGTCGCCAAGCAGAAATCTCTACATTGATGTGCTTATTTCGCTTTGAAAAGTATCTTAGAGTCCGCATAACATACACAAAGAGGAGCTACTGTAAGCACGTAAAACTCCCACTATATATGTACTGACCAGTGGCGAAGCCTCCATAGAAGCCGAGAAGCCCGGCTTGCCTTATCAAGCTGAATCAATTAATAATATCAAGTAATAAAATAAAGCGTACTGTTTCAAACTATTTCAAATTTCCCGCACGCTCTGTTTGACACAGATCATGACCTCGTAGCCTTAAGGCTTTGTCAGACAGGACGCGTATTTTAGCGCTGCGTAGTAGCGTTATAGCGTCCCGTTTTAACGTCGCGCGAGGCTTCGTCAAACAGAACGCTTTAGCGCGCGTTAGGGCGCTGACTCGATGACACGGCGCCGCCATTTCGCCATTCGCCAAAGCGTAGTGCAGATCGTTAGCAGTGTGAATAGTTTGTTAGTTATGGAGATGTCGAGTGATTCAGATGTGGAAGAATTATTACTTTTATATGCTTTATCACCGTCACAGAGAAAAAGAGTATGGGTGCACGACATCAATCAAAAGAGAAAGGATTTAGGAGAATATCATCGTTTGTGTCGTGAGCTTGCATCACATGAAGATCGTTTTTTTTACATACTTTCGTATGTCTCAAGATTTATTCGAAGAACTACATGAACTGCTCATCCCAAAAATAAGCAAATGTACCACAAACTGGAGGACGCCTATTTCTACAAGAGAAAGTCTTGTAATCTGTCTAAGGTAAGAAATATTTATTTTTTTATGTACATGTTCATTGCGTTATTATTATGAAAATCAATCAAAATCAGCTTAGTTGTAATCAGATGTCGATGCTCCAAAATTAGTTACATGTAGAATATCGATTTCGCGTAGTGGTTGACGTAGCTGCTCAGGCTGTTGCAGGTATGATGAAGTACTGTTAGATAAATCTATAACAGCTACTGGGGATGAATCTTCGGGCACAGAATTGGGTACTGCATAGCAGACGGAATCTTCGGTGGACGTTTTCTTGCAGTTCCTCTGTTTCTATGCTTGCAAATAACTTGGCTAGTTCTACTTTGGCTTAGTAGGTCGTTCAACAGTCGGTGGTATTGTAAAAGAAGTCTGTACAGAAATCTGGAATACATTACAACCAGAATATATGCCATCGCCTACTGAAGAGACATGGAAACAATCAGAGAAGGGTTATAGGGAAACCTGGAACTTCCCGAATTGTGTCGGTAGTATTGACGGGAAACATGTCTCTATAAAGTGTCCCAAAAATAGTGGATCAGAATATTTTTGCTACAAGAAGTTTTTTTCTGTAGTTCTTCTTGCTATAGTCGATCCATGTTACAAATTCACCGTCATAGATGTCGGTAGTTACGGGCGGCATAGTGATAGTGGTATATTCGAGAACTCAATATTTTATCGGCAATATATCCACGGAAAATCTCTGCTGCCAGATAAACCTCTTCCAGGCACCGAGGAGCCCGTACCTCATGTACTTATCGGCGACGAAGGTTTTGCTTTAAAAACATATTTGATGCGTCCATTCCCAAGAGCCTTAGCTACACAAGACGAAAGAAAAATAAATTTTAATAAAAGACTGCAGGGCACGTCGGGTGGTTGAAAATACGTTCGGAATATTAGCACAAAAATTGCGCATTTTTTACGACCTATTGACTGTGATGTGGACACAGCAATTGATATTATTAAAGCTGCTTGTTGTTTACATAATTACTTACGAACAAAACAAGGTACAACGATATTAACTCCGGAGTCGGAAGACGAAAACGTACATATGCGTGCTCTAATAACTCATCGTCCAACAAATAGAAGATCAACGACTGCAGCATTCGAAACTCGTAAAAAATTTGTGTCTTATTTTAATCAATAAACGATTTTTTTTACTTACCAGTTTCATTAAATTTCTTCTCCGATTTGTGCCCACAATTTTGCCTTCATTGATATATCTTTATACGAACTATTCTTCGTATTATATAAGCATGGATATTTTCTAACCAATTCTATCAAATTTTCGTTCATTATGCAGTATTTTATTATTATTTTACACCTATTCACTCCGACGCTAAAATAAAATTTGTAAAAAAATACCAACACCCGACGTTAAAGCGTCCTAACGCCGCGACAGAGCGTTGCGTACCAGTGTTGCCGTTTGGACAATCTAGTTTGTGGCTAAATAGAATAAAAAAGTGGCCAGCTTTTAAAAAAAATCGTAATCTAAAAGTAGCTAGAAGTGGCTAATATCATAATATCCTTTGCCTACTTTAATATTCTATATTGATAATTAAATAATATACAAGGTTAGGGATAAGTGGGTTTAATTAAAACCGGATCTAATATACTTAAGTTAATTAAGTATTTATTAAAACTAACAATAATGTTTGTACGTATCTACAATTAAAATTTAGTAACTAATTAAATTATTTGAAAAAAAAATAAAAATTAATAATCAATTTGTAGGTCTGCAATGTCATCTGGTAATTCTATAACCTCTTCGTCAATGGGTGATGATGATGTAGATGGTGTTACGATTTGTTTTAAAGGTTTGACAGTTTTTTTAATTTTTTTTAAAACCTCAGGCGGTAAAACATAGTTGTGACAATTTTTCTTCTTTATTTTTAATTGATTTCTAATCATTATTATAGAATTGAGTGTCAATGAACACATTCTATTTCTCAATTTATTTTTTACAGTGTTCATCACGCTGAACAGCCTTTCTACTTCCGCATTAGAGTGAGGAAGGGACATTGCAACAATAGCCAAGTCAGCTAGTTCTCGAAATGTATTAACTCCTGCTGCATTCTTGTATTTTAAGACTTGCGCCCAGAATTTAACACTGTCTCCTGCAGTTTCCCATTCTATGAATTGTATAGTTTTCCATTGTTGAACAATTTTATCTGTCTTTTGGTCATCGAATCCCAATTCTCTTGCTAATCCAACCAGTGCATGAGGATCCTTGATCTGTTTTAATGTGTTCTCTGGACTTAAGAGTGTTACTTTTGCTAGGATCTCGTAATTAGAAGGTATTCTGTTCTGAATTTCTTGTACCAACTTGACACTGAAGTCGATGCATCGTTTTTTGATATTAGAAATT